AGTGCTGGTTTGGTATTCATGAAGTTCCTAAGGTGCTCTTTGTCATGAAAGTATCTTATTTCTCCATCAATTTTGAAAGATAATTTTCCAAGGTACATCAATTTGGGTTGGAGGCTGTTTTCTTTTAGAGCTTGAAATACATCACTCCAACAAACAAAAAAGACAAATGAAGACAGCTCATGCCTTCAAAGAATTCATAATCAAATCAAGATGATAAAAGTTGCAAATACCTTTTCTAAGCCTCTGCTTTTTTTAATCTTCAAATTATTGTAATATGTTTTCCTGATAAGACTATAGGTAAATGAAGCTTCTCTATATGAGGAATTTAGCAGTTCCTGACCTGTAGTATTCAGTATTTGGTGGTTATAGTGCTAGATAAGTAGAAACATGAAGAAAATAGTGAACATAACATCTCTACCTGGGTGTATAAATAACGCTGGAGTAAGATATATACAAAGCAATGAAATATGAGGTACATTTAAAGACTTTTAAGTAACTTGTCAGTGAGAGATGCAGTTTCTAAGGTAGGCAGAAAGTTAGACTTAATAAGGAATGGAGGATGTTAATTTATGTCAAACAGAGGAGTCTTAAAATTAGTTAATGCTCGAGAAAATTTCTGATATATTACATGTCTCTTTCAGGTCTCACTTGCTTTGGAACCTCTGTCAGAAACTTACGACAGCTACAGTCCTCTTCCTCACACTGACAAGACACAGAATGTCCATTTATCTGAGCAGGGATATAGAACGAATATAGAATCCAGCAATACCCAATTTCTGATTCCATCAAAGTCTCATGGGATACCCACCATCAAAATTGATGGAAAAGAAGCAGCCAACAGTAGTAGACCAAGCACACCAAGGTAATCACCACACCTAATACCAGTCAATCTGTCAGCTAACTCCCTCTGTACTCATGATTTCTGCCAAGAGAAATACAGTCACTCATTCACCAAATAACTGTTAAGCACTCACTATGGTCCTAGTTCAATACCAGGTACTGGGCATAGAAATTAATAAGATACAATTCCTGGGGCTGGGTGTAGCTTAGAGGTAGAGCATATGTTTAAAAGCACATCCAGTGGCAAAATCCAAACAACACAATTCCTGTTTTCAAGGACTACTTACAATCTAATGGAGAAGCCATTATACAAATAAATATGACTGAATAATATACAGATATTACTGCTGCACATGGAGGTACACACATGTAATCCCAGCACTCTGGGAAGCTGAGGCAGAAGAACTGCAAGTTCAAGCTTGGTCTGGGTAACTTTAATGACTTAGTCAGATCCTGTCTTCAAAATAAAAAATAAAATAGAAACAACTGGGGATGTAGCCCAGTGTGAAAGCCCTGGGTTCAATCTTCAGTACCACAAAACAACAACCAGAAAAACAGATGCCATGAGCCATGACAGATATCCATATGGAAAACAGGGAAAGGGCATTATTTTGTGAAACAGTGGAATAAAGTAAGGAGATCCTGGTTTTGTTTTATGTAGTTACTTATGAATGATTGGCTTTGTGTCAGGCTATGTGCTGACCTCCTCCCCCAAGCCTTTTTGTGTTGAGCTCTTCATTCTATTGTTTTATTTAAGGCACAACTCTACAAATGTAGATTGAGCATCAATTCCTTCAATTTAGGAAATTTTTATACAAAGTAGATATACAAAGTCACATTAAAAATAAGCCACCTGTTTTGAAATCCAAGCTACATTGCCATCACTGATCCTCTTCCTGTCTCTGACAAAGTGGAATGTTACCATAATGGATTATACAGTGCTGACATTTTGTTTTGTTTTGTTTCAAACAGGGGTAAGGATCACTTGTACTTTGCAGAGCACTCTGATACAATAAAGGATTCTTTCTTTGAGCTACAGCACCATCTTAATTCCAGACAGAGTTTAGAATCTATACCTCTAAAAGCCAAAGCTCCACCAAAGCACATATCCCTTCTCAACAGTACTGAATATCAGCCTCAAATTAGGATGGCTGCCAAGAGTCACAGTGACTCATGCGTTCTTTCTTCAAACAATCCTCCTACCAAGGACCTTCTTTCAGGTACGTATATATTTGTGAACTGAGACTGAGCTATATTTATGGGATTGCTGTGCTTGTTAGCCAGCCTAAAACAAGAACCAAAACTTCTGTTTGAACTAGAGACCCAAGTAAAAGTGAGAAGACTTGCTGTAGTTCAGAACCTCTCATTTAATGACAGCCCTATTAAACCACCAAGTAACTTCTTTTTATCTTTTTTTAAATGTTTATTTTTAATTGACACCTAGTAATTATACATATTTGTAGGGTACAGTGTGATATTTCAACATATGTATATAATAATGATCAAATCAGGATAATTGGTATATCTATAACCCCAGACATTTATTATTTCTTTGTGTTAGAAATATTCAAAATCCTCTCTACTGGTTGTGTTGAAATATTCAATTGATGCTGTCAAGCATAGTTATCTTTTTTTTTTTTTTGGTACCAGGGATCAAATTCACGTCTTTGTGCTTGTGAGGCAGGCGGTGGAACCACTGAGATAAATCCCTGGCCAACAAGTTATCTTATTGATGCTGTAGAACAGTGAGGGCAAACCTTTTAGAGACTGAGTGCCCAAACTGCAACCCAGAACCCACTTACTTATTGCAAAGTGCCAATACTACGATTAAACCTGAGTACTGAGGTTTTAGTTCAGAAAAAACAACTCATACACTTGGCTCACATGCCGACAGAGAGGGCTCTGTGTGCCCGCTGTGGCACATATGCTATAGGTTTGCCACCACTGCTATAGGATTTTAGAAATTATTTCTGCCATCCAGCTATGTCCCTGTACCATTAACCAGCCCCTCCCCTTCATATTCTCTCCCATAACTTTCATAGGCTTTGGTAACTACTATCAATTTTCTTCTTTGAGATGGACTTTTAAATGAAAAGATGTGGTATTTGCCTTTCTGTACCTGACAACTTACTTAATAAGGTTCTCCAGTTCCATCCATGTAAAGAAACCAGGTAACTTCTAAATTAGATTCTTAGAGTCAGGGTATAACTCAGTGGTAGAATGTTTGCCTAAGAGGCACTATGCCCTGGGTTCAATGCCCAGCATCTCAAAATAAAATAAAATAAAATAAGATAAGATAAGATAAGATAATAATCAAGTTCTTATAATTGCATGTTTGGGGACAGAACCATTTAAAAGAAAGCTTGAGGGGCCGGGGATTTAGCTCAGTGGTCCCAGCGCCTGCCTCACAAGCACAAGGTCCCAAGTTCGATCCCCGGTACCAAAAAACAAACAAAAAAAAAGAAAGCTTGATATGAGGATAAAGTTTTTATTTTAGAAAAAAAATAGGCCTTTATTTTTCCCTACATAATTCAAGGCAGATCGCCTCTCAGCCGTTTGATTAAGATCAGGTGTATAATTCAAGGCAGATAAAAAACAGGTTTTTAGCAGCAGAATTTAGTTATGCCATTGTACAGAGAGTAATACCAAATTCATTTCACGTTCTGAAAGCTATTAGTCTTAGGGCTGGGGATTTAGCACAGTGACACCATGCCTGCCTTGCAAGCACAAGGTCTTGAGTTCGATCCCTGGTACCAAAAAAGAAATGAAAGCTATTAGTCTTAATAGAAAAACTGAGTGCAACTCAATCTTAACTGATCTTAACTGCTGATCTTAAGTCTGGAAATTAAATTCTGTTGTGGCTAAATAGAAGTAGAAAGGAGACAGTTTACTTGTGTAAATGCTTACAGTGAAATAAAAAGGAAATAGTGGTATAATAAAAGCAGTTGACTTACCAGTTGTAATGTTCAACCATATTAACTCTGCGATCTTAAGAGCAAGACAGGAATTTGTCTCCATCCCTACAAGTAAAATTGCCAAATTATTATATCTGTAGCACTTACAGAAAAGTCTTTTAAATAACTACTTAGCCACATAATTTCCATTAGTAAGGATACTTCTTTTTGTTCTAGTTTTGTATGGTCATAAGGATCAAACACAGGACCTTATGCATGTGAAGCATGTGTTGTACCACTGAGCTACATACCCAACTAAATACATTTTTTAAATAAAACCATTCTGCTCATATTTTTTCCAATGAAATATGTTAAGAGCAGACTCCATTAACAAGAAAGAAAATTGTCCCACCATACTCAGCACTTCTCATTTTATACCTGTGATATTTGTATATAGACTTGGGTACCACACTTTGAGAAAGATATTAATTTTCTCACTAAGTGGTTATTTATTCAACACCTACCAAGTGTCTAGCACTTTTCTGTGTGTCAAGGATGTAGCTGTTCAATCTCCTGCCTTATAGATCTTATATTTCTAGGTAGGAAGACAAATGATAAACTAGATAAATATTATGTTGTATTAAATGATGATAATGGCAATGAGGAAGGTGAAGCAAAGAAGGGGAGAAGAAAGGATGTTAGTTTTACATAGGTTGGTAAAGGAAGGCCTCATTAAGAGGGCTGGAGGTATACTGCAGTGGTAGAGCACTTGCCTACCATGCGTGAAGCCATGAGATCAATCCTATGCACCAGGTGATGGGGATGAGTTCCTTTTAAGGAGAATAATTAGGCTGGTAAAAAGGACCACCAAGAGATCCCATGTGCTTTATAAAAGAATCTTTAAAAACCATGTGAAGTAGGGACTGTTATCTCCATTTTAAAATGAAGACATGGGTCGAGTTAGGAACTTGTGCCCTGTCAAAAGAGGTAGCAATTTCTTAGCTCCTGTTCATTACTGACTTAGACTCTAAGAGGTAAAGCCTTTTGGTTCATTCTATTGTAGATTAGTTGTTTACCCAGGCCCACCTGCTTTTTTTTTTTAAGTCAATTTTGCTGACCAGCTGTTCAACTCAAACAAAATATGCCTGGAACAACCCATTGGCTGCCAACATGCAGCCTCTTCCATAACATAGGTTCAGTGAACTTAAAGCACAGGGGCCGGGGATTTAGCTCAGTGGTTTCACTGCCTGCTGCGCAAGCACAAGGACCAGAGTTTGATCCCCGTACCAAAAAAAAAAAAAAAAACAAAAAGGCCAAGGATTTAGCTCTGGTTCCAGCGCCTGCCTTGCAAGCACAAAGTCCCGAGTTCGATCCCCAGTACCAAAAAAAAAAAAAAGATAAAGCACAGATAGTGGCTGAGTCTAAGTTAATAGTCTGGCATGTGCAATAATGGGAAAGGCCATTTAAAAGATTGCGAATTCTGTGCTACTGTGAACAGTTATAGGCCAGTAGCTTTCTAAACTTTGGGTTAAATCAGGTATGCCTGTCCTATAGCAGCATCACAAAATCATAAACTTTTGAACATTATCATGTGATTTTTAGTGATATTTTCTATGAATTGATTGCATGGTTCTGGAGCCTGTACTGTGTAGGCAACAACAAAATGGTATACAGGTAATGGCACAGTACAATGCTAACACTGCCTCCTGTGCCTGCCACACTACCTTTTTCCTCATTGCTGGGACAAAATGCTCAACACCCATAACTTAAAGGAGGAGAGGCTTGTTTGGGCTTACAGTTTTAGAAATTTCAGTCCATAGTTGCTGTCTCTAAGGCAGAAATGGCATGGCAGAGGAGCACAGCAAAGAAAAGCTACTCACCTCAGACCCACCAGGAAGCAGATAGAGAAAGCAGGAGCCAGGGAAGGAGACATACCTTTCCAGGTCACACCCCTAGTGCACCCCCAACCAGGCCCCATCTTCTGACAGCACAGTCAGCTGCTGAACTCATTAGTGGATAAATCCACTGATAGGTAGAGCACTCCCTGCCCCCATCATCACCCAAATTTTCTGCCTCTGTGTACATGAGAATTTGGGGGGACATTCTGGATCTAAACCATAACAGTAAGTAAAATAGTGATTACTGATAATAGTATTTGAATCTAGTACTTACTTGTATACATAAACTCTATTCTATATTTTATATGTAGCCCAAGATAATGCAACCTAGGCAAGCCAAAAGGTTATCACCCATAAGATCCTGGTGGGCTAAGATTAAACGGGCTGTTCCAGTAGCACTAAAAACTGAGATCATGGGAAGGACACAGCAAATACAGAAACCAAATTACCTTCCTAGTCATCATTATACTGACATGCAGAGCCAAGTCAGTCAGCCAGCTAGTATTTATGAAAGACCAGCTATACTCTCAGCTTCTCAGAGCTGGGCTTTGTAATGAACAGCAGGGAATTAGAAGAAAAATCAGAAACTTACATGTCCCTTGTTTAGTAGGGGCTGTGCCTCTGGCTCATTGAAAATAAGGGAAATATTTGTCCTGAGCTCACTTGAGTACCTTGTTGATGTGTGTAGGAAATTATTAGAGTTGGAGTGCAGGATGGTGCCATGATAGCTCTTGTGTAGAGTATCAGTTTCTCCTTGAAAAATCAAGATACAAGATGTTCTTCTTGTCGCCTTAGTCTTTAGAGAAGCTTTTCTAAACAATAGCTCTTTCAACAGTGAAACCACTTGTAAGCCAATGAATGAACTAGTGTGCTCAGATTTCTGTTACTTGTCTTTCTTAATGTTCATTTCCTTTTCCAAACCTATTTTATTTATTTATTTATTGGTACTGGGGATCGAACTTGGATCCTTGCACTTGCAAGGCAGGCTGCAGAACCACTGAGGTAGATCCCCGGCCCATTCCAAACCTATTTTAGAAAGTGTCTTAGTTACCAATTCCCACTCAGGTGTAAATGAACAACAGAGAAGTTTTTATACAACCAGGATGAAAAGTAAGCTTAATTCAATTCTAGTATCTTTTACATACCTATCTCATTGTCAGTCATTATTTTTAATATTAGGGTTGCCATCATAAATGTTTCAGTCCCAGCCCTTTAAGAATTCAGTTTAGTGAAGGACAGACTTAGAAGCAGATACACCACAATTATTGTGTGATACATGCAGCAGTTAAAGTCTTCATTAAAACATTTTATGAAGTTTCTGATATATGCCAGATACTGCACCAGATACCAAGAATACAATAACCAACAAAAGCTAATCCCTGATTGAGTGCAACAGAGAATAATATTGCATAATAAATTCTGCAGTCAAGTTAAATACTGAGAGATCTGAGAACACAGAGGAAATATTTTACTTTAAGGAGCTGATAATAATTGGACATTGTTACATAATAAAGTACCAAGGTGTTACTCTTTAGGAATATTTTGGGTATCAGAAGAAAAACCTGTTCTGCATGGCCCTAAAACCCAGTGGAGTCTCATTGATATGTGCTTGTCATTAACCTCTTTATTCATAATGTGTTTATTGAGTCCACCCACCTCTTAAAGAATTTTAAACTCTTATCGAGTAAGTATCAACTAGAAACCAAAAGGAAAAAGGTTTTCTGTTGCATACTAAGCTTCTTTAGCTGGAAAACTTAGATTCTGGCCAAATTTCTTATTCTAGAAAACCATGTTTTCTTCACTTTTTCTCAATGAATAAACTAGTCAGTCATTTTCCAGCTGAATCCCAAGGAAAGTTTTTTTTCTTTTAATAAAAAAGACACAATGAATTCTGAGTATAATGTTGTGTAGCCATTATTTACTCAAAGAAAAAGTTTAATATGTGAAAGTAGTTAGAAAACAGTGTACACGATATGCCATTTTTACAAAAGAAAACCCACATGTATGTGCAGGCATAAGTATCCCTAGATGAAAACTATAAGATGTCAAAATATTAACTAGCTAATGACCTTAGTGGACACATTAGTTTTCTGTGGCTGCATAATAAGTTACCACAAACTTAACACTTAAAACAATACCCACTTATTACTTATCACAGCTCTGTAGGTTAGAAATATATAGCATGATTGGGGTTTATGCTTAGAATATCATGAGGCTAAAATCAAGATGTCAACCAAGCTATTTGATCTGAAGGTTCTGGAGAAAAATTCACTTTCATGCTTATTTTTTATTACTGACAGAATTCAGTTCCTTGCAGTAATACCTTCAAATTCCCTTTCATTGCTGACTGTCAGCCTTGAACCACTTTCAGCTCCTGCAGGCCACCTGCTTTTATGCCCCCACTTTCTTCAAGTCAGCAGTGATATCCTTCTCATGCTTCAAATCTCTGACTTCATATCCTTCAGCCAGCCAGAGAAAACTGCTTTTAAAGGTTCATGTAATTAACTCAGGCCTCAAAAGATAGTCCCATATCTGTTTTTTTTCCTCACAAGATAGTTCCCCCCACTTCCCATCCCCAGTAGTGGGCATTAAACCCAGGGCCTTGCACATACTAAGTAAGCGCTGTACCGCTGAGCTACTTTAGTCTCCCTATTTTAAAATAGACTTATTTGGAGCCTTAATTACATCTTCACAATCCCTTTGCAACAATGTTTAGATGATTGTTTAAATTACTAGGAAAAGATATGTATATATCAGGGGCTGGGAATCTTAGGGGAACCATCTGAATTTTTTGACTCCTTTTGGTTTTTGTTGTTTTTGTTTTTCAGTATTGGGGATTGAACCCAGAGCCTTCACATTTATCTACATCCCCAGCCTTTTTTATTTATTTCAAGACAGGGTTTCACTGAGTCTCTAAATAGCCCCAGGTGGGCTCAAACTTGCAACCCTCCTACCTCACCCTCCCAGAGTGATGGGATTACAACCGTGTACCACCACACCTGGCTTGGCTGGGGGAACCATCTTAAAATTCTGTCTACCACAATGGGTGATCATTACTTTGTTTGATCTACCTATATTTTCATATAACATATTGAGCATATGATATTTAAGGTTCTGGATAGTTTTTAAGCTATATTTCTTTCTCTTTATAGTAACAAATAGTAGATGCTTATGGATCCATTTGGCATGTTTGGGGGGTTTTCTGTTTGTTTCTTGACCTAATCACCATATTTTATTTCCAGAAGTTATAAAATTTAAGGAGGTAAATACTCTGTTGCTAGTCTCATGTACCATCTAAGCAGCTGTGGAGTCTCAAGAAAATAATACTTTCCATGTTCCTTGGAATAATACCATTGGCCCTCAGCTTTTAAAAGAAACCCTGCTAGGCAGAAGGATCACATGTTCGAGCCCAACCTGGAGAACTTAGGGATTTAGTGAGACCCTGTCTGAAAATACAAAATTAAGAAAGGGCTGTCTGTGGATGTAGCTCAGTGTGAAAGCTCCAGGTTCAGTCTTCAGTACTGGGGGGAGAAAAAGCCTAAGAACTAAAGGGGGGATTGTAAAAAAATATAGTGGTTAAAAGAATAGGATGTAAACTCATTTCATTTGTACAGGAATCCCCTTTTATGCCCAAGGGATATGTCCCAAGGCCCCCACTAGCTGCTTGAAACTAGAGAGTACTGAACTCCATATATACTATATTTTTTCCTGTATGTATGTGCCTGTGATAAAGTCTAATTTACAAATTAGGCAGTCAGACTAAAAATAATAACTAAAAATAAAATAGTATAATTATAATAATATACTATAATAAAATTGCCAGCATCACTACTCTTGTGCTTTGGGGCCATTATTTTTTCTTTTTCTCAGTACTGGGGATCAAACTCAGGAACTTGTGCTTGCGAGGCAGGCGTGACGCCACTGAGCTAAATCCCCATCCCTTGGGACCATTATTAAATAAGAGTTACTTAAGCATTATGATGCCATGACTTTAGAACTGATAACTGAAATAGCTACTACGGTATGTGCCAAACAGGCAGGTGGTATACACAGCATGAATAACAATGGACAAAGGCATGATTCATAGCCAGGATGGGACATAGCAGGACACCATAAGATTTCATCATGCTACTCCAAACAGCACGCAGTTTTAAATTTATGAATTGTTTATTCTGGAATTTTCTATCTAATATTTTTGACTGAAATTGTAGAACATAAAACTACAGATATGGGGGAAATACTGTACGTGTATCATATATATAACCTGGGCAAGTTATTTATCGTCTCTGCCTCAATTTTTTAATCTAGAAAATGAAATACTACATGTCTCAGAGGAGTGTTGAGGATTAAGTAAATTAATACTTGTACTTAGGGTACTACCTACCACATGGTAAGGGTTCAATAAATGTTACCTGCTATTATTGTTTTTAGTTGAGGAAGAGAGTAACTTTTACCTATCAGAAAATTTAATCTCACCTTTCCATTAACCTGCTATATGATCTTGGGTGAATCATAGAAGGGTTTTTTTTTTTGCCATTCTTTTCTTCATTCAAAAATGTATAAGCTTGAAATAGATAATTATAAGTATCACTATGGCTTCTAAAGGTTTAGCTGGTATTGACATGTTTCTTGGTTAAGAATGACATTGAGACTCTTACAATAAGAATTCAGTAAGTTATCTGGATATATAAATAAATTATAGGTGCTACTAACCTTATTAGGTACAAATACCAATTAGAATAGTTGAATGCATGGGGATATAATGACTTCCCAAAGAAGGTCACTCTCTCTGGAGTAGAAATTTCATGTACTGATATAATGTTAGCATCTAAAACAGGGAATATAATAGAAACTCAGCAGACAGCTATTGTTAAGTGAATGTTGGTAAGGACTTCTCAAACTCGTAAGAAAGGCAGATAAGTAAGCCATTAACTTGTAGTAAGACCTATGATGATAGAAGAAAACACATTGTATATTGCAAACATTTCTGCTTGATTTCAGGGGGGTTTTTTTCTACTTTTCCTTCAGCTCTGTTAGAACAAGGCAATAAACTGCGTAATGCTATGGTGATTTCAGCAATGAAATCAAGCCCAGATGCTATCATGTTGTTGGACAAAGTTCATCCTCCTGTGAAGGAAGATTCTCTTACATCATCAACACAGTAAGTTACAAGATAGACTCGAACCCCAACAGTTCATTTCTTAATAGTAGTTAACGTGTGTTTTCTATCAAGTTATGAACTGCATATTCTTAGAAATGTTTAGCAAATAATTCTTAATATGGTAGAAAAGAAGCCTAAACTAGGAGTTTAGAAAAGAAGCCTAAACTAGGAGTTTAAGTAACTCAAAATCTAGTCCTAACATTGATACTTGCTAAATATGTATATGAGTTAATTCTTTGCTTTCTCTTAATTAGAATATATATAAGATGATGGGGACATTTTTTTCCTACTTTACAGAAATAAAATCTGATTCTGGTGTAGGAAAGAGACTTGCGAAGTGTCAAGTTTTATATATAGTTAAGGCAGTTAACTCTAAAGTATGTTAAATTTTCTGTGTCAGATCAACCCCAACTATTTTTTCTTAGCTCAGTTAATTATGACTTAGATTTTTCCCATCTGTTAGCCACTCAATGAAAACATGTTTTTCGACACCTTGAATCAGAGCCTTGTCTACTAGGAATCAACTTAAAGATCCCGTTGAAGATCAAGTCCTCTCTCCAACTGAACATACATTTAGGAATCATGACACAAAAACTGATAGTAGAGCTATACAGCTGCTATTAGGCAGGTAAGTGCTCATGTGTGTGTGTGTGTGTGTGTGTGTGTGTGTGTGTGATGCTAGGAATCAAACTAGGCCTATACATGGTAGGTAAGTACTCTGCCACTGAGCTATACTCCCAGCTCCAGGTAAGTGTTCTTAACTAGCTTTCTTCCTTTTCAATTCTTTCTCCAGTTCATTGAGTACAGTATTAGATTCATCTTAGAGCAAAACTTCTGTAGACTAACCAAGTCCTTTTTCCTGTTCCTTAAACTACTACTTATTAAACAAAAAGCCAGTATTTAGCCTTTTTTTCTAGGCTTCACTTACAGAAATGTCTGCAGTCTACTTTCCCTTCTTTTCTCCCAATCCTTTTTCCCACCACCGTTGTTAGAATAGGGTGATGAAAATAGCATGAGTTTCAAACACACTCAAGTTGAAATTTGAGGTCTGTTGTTTATTGGTAGTATGGCTTTTAAGCAGGTATCTCAACTTCAGAGGCACCAGTAAAATTAGAACTATTCGTAACCTTGCAAAACTGTTGTGAGAATTAGAAATGATGCACATAAAGCACCCAACACTGTTCTTGACACATAGTAGTTTGATTTTTTTTTTTTGTATCAGAGATCGAACTCAGGACCTCACACTTGCCAGGCAGGTGCTGTGCCACTGAGCTACATCCCCAGCCCAGTAGTTTGATTATGAGGAACTGTTATTGTTAATATTACTACTAATATGTCCTCTTAAACCAGCCTCATCTATTTATTGTCTCTTGGATAAGATTCTATACCTGTCTTAGGAAGGTAGTAGGACATAGGGTTAAAATCAATATGTGCTGAGTTATTGAGGTGCGAGAAAAAAATGTTTTTCAGAAATTAAACTTAGTTTAATTTGGTTTAAGTTTAGAAAAGTGGCAAAACTACATAATCACTGGGTTTTTGTCTTAATTACTTTCTTGTCATTGAGACATAGTATACGACATCCACAAGTTAAAGGATGAAAGGTTTATTTTAGGTCACAGTTTGTAGAGGTTTCAGTCCATAGTCTGGGGCTCCAGGGCAGGGGGACATGGCAGAGGAGAAACAAGCTGGAAGCAGCAGCAGCAAGCCTCCCTTTATTTTCCATCCAAGTTACACCACATCCAGGGTAGGCCTTCCCATTATCCACACCCAGAGCTATGCTAAATCAATTAGTCAACTAATCCAATACCACACACCATTAATCCTAGTATCACACACACTAAACCCATCCACCTCTGAGATGCCCCAACTATGAGCAATAAAGCTTTAGTGGAACATCTAGATATGTCTTAACAATATTCTAATGGTAGGATAGGTAGAGTGAGTAGAAATATAATGGCAAAGAAAAGTCAAAGCTAGACCCTGAAGGACTTTGAATGTTATGTTAAAGAGTTTGGATTTCCTATTAGAAATTAGGTAGACTCAATATTTTGAGAAAAATAGCAAGATCAACTTGGCAACATACGGAAAATCAACTGGAAGAAGTGATGGCAAAGCATGCAGATATTTTTTTTCTCCCTAGTGGAGATGGAGAGATAAGAAACTAAAAGCAGAAATGATAGGATTTTATGACTTTTTAGATACAGAAAAGGACAAGAAATGAAAAAAAACTACTTAGAGCTTTGGCTCTAGAGACTGGGTAGATCATAATGATTGAAATAGAAATCTTCAAGCAGGTGTAGGGCAAGACTTTGAAGATAAGTTCAAATTTGCACCTGTAAATCTGTTAAACTTGAGCTGCCTGTGAACATTCAAACGTTGTTTAGTAGACAGTAAACATTAATGCATGGGCCAGGGATGTAGCTCAGCAACTCTGCTCCTGCCTGTCAAGCGCAAGGTCCTGAGTTCAATCCCCGGTACAGAAAAAATAAAAATTAATGCATGTAAAATACATAAAAATACTCAACATATGTAGAGCAGAAGCTCAGGAGAAAAGTCTGGCCTAAAGATAAAAACTGAGTATTTATTTAATAAGCTACATTGTAGTAATTGAAACCTTAAGAGCAGACAGAATCATCCAGGGAGTACATAATAGAATGAAAATAAGGATAAAGTACACATTTTTATGCCTACTTCTTTTTAAACCTTAATAGGGTAATAATAAAGGAAGAAGAAAACCATAAAATCACAAGAGCCAAAAGAGGAGATGATAGCAAATAAAAGATGTTAGTAAAATTTTGGAAGTTAAAAAGTTAGATGGACAAGTATAACTGACCTAGCAAAACAGAGAAAACTACCTCAAGCCAGAATACCCTGAGCTATACCACTCACTAGTGGAAAAACCTTATGTAAGTTTTAACCACCTTCTAACTGCAGTTGCTTCATCTGTAAAACAGATACAGATGAAACATACTTCTATGATATGTGGTATGAATTTAATGAGTTACTTTCTGTGAACTTCTTAGGATTCTGCTTGGCACAGGGTAACCTGTAAATAAACTTGGGTATTATTATCATAATACTATCCCACAACCCCAGAGCTGAGAGACTAACCTTCCTCTGCCTAGTGAAAGACTAGAAGTTTATTCTTCATAGAGCTAGGACTAACAAGTCTCTAGATTCAAGGATGTCAAACATAACTGAAGATAGATGTGAACACAACACTGAGGGAAAGGAGAGTACATTAAAGTCTCCATATGGAATGATGAACACCTCTCCAGCCCTGAACCCCCTTTCCTTCTTGATTCCCAGCGGACTGGCAGCCTTACTACCTCCCAGTAGGAAATTCAGACTCTGCTTGGAAACTGTCCGGCTTAAGAGAAAAGAAATAAAGATAGCAACAATTGTAGCTTTCCCAACAAAATGCTCTAGCTCTTCCCAATTACTTTACAGTGAAGCCCACCAGTCAATTTCCCTCTGACTCCCAGTCTGCATACAGGGCTTCCAGTCAGCATTTCAGAGCCTGATTTTTAATATGACTAGATAGCCAAATTTATACACGTTTGGGGAATGCTTCTAACATGTAGACATAGAACATTTGGTAGAGGAAGATGAGAGAAAATCCAAGAAAGTTTACCACAGAGGATGGATTTGGGAAATAGAAAAAGGTAAATATTACATTGTTCAGACATCTTGATATTAATACAAGTTACCTTTGGTGCTCAAAGTGGTGGCCATTAGCTTCCAGACATTTATTAGCACAGTGAACTGCTGCTTGAACCTTGGTTGTTGAGATTGCTGCACATGCATTTTCAATTTCTTCTCTAAAGGCCAGCAGTGTAGTGGATTTTCTGTTATATATGACATCCTCTAGGGTCCCTCATACAAGGGTAACACCATCTATTGAAAAAATATCATCCTATTTTTCTTTTCCTGAATTGTGTATACATTTCTTTGGTGGACACTATAGATGTTTGAACCAAGACCCTCCTCACCCTCTCTCCTAACCAAAAAGCCATGAGAACTGTATTCCAGATGGGGGCAACCAAGAACTTAGGGTTCCTACCCTCCTCACCACCCAGTCAGTAGGCTGTCTTCCCAGGAGGACATACCAGGAAAGAAAAAAAAAGACTCAAATTACTAGAATTAGACATTGAAGAGGGAATATTAATACCAATTTTATAGAAATAAAACATTGAAAAGGAATGCTGTGAACAGTTATATGACAGTGAAGGAGATGGTTTAGATGAAATATACAGATTTTTATAAAGAATCTCAGCAGACCTCTAATAAGTAAAGAGATCAAAGTAGTAATCAAGTGAAGAGATTGAAGTAGTAATTAGAAAAACTACCCACAAAGAAAAACTCAGGCCCAGACAGCTTCAGTGCTAAATTCTACAAAATATTTAGAGTTGATAACAATAATTCACAAATTTCTGAAAATTAGAATAGTGTGGAACTCTTCACAACTCATTTTATGAAGCCAGAATTGCTCCAATACCAAATCTAGACAGAGGCATCACAAAAGTGATAAGTAAATATGGGGACAGAAATCCTCAACGAAACACAAAGCCTAGCAACATAGAAAGGTATTTTCATACCATGACCAAGAGAATTTATTTGAAATACAAGGTCAGTTTGTGTAATACACCATATTAATAGAATAAAAAACAAAAACACATGATCATCTCAAAAGAGAAAAAAACATTTAACAAAATCCAGTATTCTTTTACGATAAACACTAATCAAACTTGGATTACAAGGAAAAATCATCAACATAATAAAAGACATCCATTTTTTTAAAAAACCTACAGCTAAATTCACAGTTAATGTTAAAAGATTAGTTGCTTTCTTCCTAAGATTAAGACAAAACAAAGATATTTGCCCTCACCAATTCTCTTCAACATTGTGCCACAGATTCCAGCCATTTTAATTAGTTAGGAAAAACAAATAAAAGGGATCAAAATTGGAAAGAAAAATGTCTCTGTCTACAGATGACATGATTTAGTATGTAAAAAATTATAAAGACTCCACTAAATCATTAGAATAAACAAGATACAGGATTGACTGATTTTGCAGAAATCTATTGCAATGAGCAATCTAAAATTTGAAAAGCAATTTCAGCGTGAGGCTCTGAGTTTGATTCCTGGTACAAAAAAAAGTAGTTTCATTTACAAAAGCATCAAAAAGAATAAAATACTTTGGAATAAATTTAACAAAAGATATATAAAACTTTACCTCTGAAAACAAATCCCTTTTGAAAAGAATTAAAATCTAAATAGAAAAACATCTCATGTTAAAGTTTCAACATAGTCCATATCAGAATCACAGCCAACTTCTTGGTCACAATTAACAGGCTTTTTTTTTTTTAATTTTTTGGTACTGGGGATAGAACTCAGGTCCTTGAACTTGCGGGCCAGTCAGCGGAACCACTAAGCTAAATCCCCAGCCCTAGGCTATTTTTAAAATTGATAGGAAATTACAAAGGATCCAGAATAGCCAAAACAATTTTTAAAAAGAAAAAATGTAGGTCTCAAACTTCTTAGTTTTAAAACCTACTACAAAGCCACAGTAATAAAGTCAGTGTGGCACTGGCATGAAGACAGACATATAAATAAAAAAATACTATTG